CTGCTCTTTTTCAAGGACAGCTGTGCCAGAGCTTGTGACTGACCCAAGGTCACATCAGCAGGTGCAAGTGGAGGAGTGGGGAATCAAACCCGGTTCTCCCAGATTAGAGTCCGCGCACTTAACCACTACACCAAACTGGAACCAACCGCCTAATCAGCCAGAGATGATAAAAGTCTGCCTTGGCAGTGGCTACTACTTAGGCCATGCATTGTGGTGCATTGTGGCGGCAGCTGCTACCAAAACAACATTTTAAAAAATCTGCACAGCCAATCAAATCTCCGGTGTCCAATCAGAAGCCTGGCTAGGCAAAAGCTCCACCAGGCCCTACCCCAGAGGTCATTTCGGGGGGGGGGAATGGGGGGGATCGCAGTTCCCCCGGGTGAGGTACGGGGGGCAGGGCACATGACAAAGCCCCGCCCCCTGCTTCCGGCCGCCCTGCTTCTGGCCCTCATTCAGCCAGGAGGAGGCAGGAGAAGAGGGAGGGTAAGTTGCTTCCTCCCTGCCTCTCCCCACCCCTGCCTGCCTGGGCCCAGGAAGGGCCTTCGCGGGGTTTCCTCGCACTCCCGCCCCTCATGGGGCTCGGCAGTGGAGCTGCAAGGCCGGCGGCAGCCGGGACCGTTGGGGGCGGGGTGTGTGGCCTTATGACACACTTCCGGTGATGTCAGGGGGTGTGGCCTCATGACACACTTCCGGTGATGTCAGGGGGTGTGGTATATGCTAATGAGTTATGCTAATGAGTTCCCCTAGCTCTTTTTCTACGAAACGACCCCTGCCCTACCCAGTTCCTAAAAACACTTAACGAGCCCCAGGATAGGTGCTGGAGGTTGCTATGGCACCCGCATTGGGGACCTCTGATCTGATCTAATACGTTCTTCTCTACACATGCAACAGAATGAGACTGGAATGGCCCAAATCGGGTGGTACTTGGAGGAAAGCACTTTTCGTGTAACAAAAAGCACCCCGCGAGTCGAAAGCCAGCATTGCTGGGCGTGGACAGACGCTCAACCCCCAGAATCTCCAGTTAAAAGCACCGGGCAGCAGGTGATGTGAAAGACCTCTGCCTGAGACCCTGGAGAGCCGCTGCCAGTCTGAGTAGACAATCCTGACTTGGATGGTCCCAGAATCCGATTCAGCATAAAGCAGCTTCATGCATTCAAGAGGAGATTAGGATAGAATCTTTTAAATGCTGCGGTGGCTCAAGTGGTTAAGACGCTGAACTGCAGGCTGTGGAAGGTCAGTAGTTCAGCAGTTCGAGACCTGAGTTGCCGCATGACGGAGTGAGCTCCCGTCTCTAGTTCCAGCTCCTGCCAACCTAGCAGTTCGAAAGCAAGAAATTGCAAGTAGATAAATAGGCACTGCTTCGGTGGGAAGGGAACAGCGTTCCGTGCGCCTGGGTGTTTAGTCATGCCGGCCACATGACCACGGAAATGTCTTTGGACAGCGCTGGCTCTTCGGCTTTGAAACGGAGATGAGCACCACAACCCTAGAGTCGGACTTGATTGGCTTTCGAGCAAGGGAACCTTTACCTTTAGGTGAGTTTTTGCCCTGACCTGGATGGATCTCGCAGGGTCGGCCCTGGCTAGTATTTGGACGGGAGACCTCCAAGGAACGCTGAGGCAGGCAATGGCAAACCACCTCTGTTTATCTCTTGCCTCGAAAACCCTACAGGGTTGCCGTAGGTCGGCTGTGACTCAACGGCACTTCCCACCACCACCAGTCTAGTTTTTGGAAGTGGAAGGAATTTTCATTTTGTCTGGGGGGGGGAAGCACTGAATCACGTGAGCATGCCGGCAGCAGTTTTGGAGTATTTTGAGCTAGATGCACAGACTGGTCCTTCCTTCTTCAGCGAGGGGCTGTGGCTCATTGGAAAAGCCTCTGCTTTGCATTCAGAATTCAATCCCTGGCTCTTTTCAGTTTAAAAGATCAGGCACTGGGATTTCCGTGAAGAAGGATTTTGCTTTTGCCTCTTGTGAACAAGCGTCGATCCATTTTTAATTGGGCGACGCTCGTTTTCAGAGAGGGACAGATCCCCTTTTGTCACCACACCAAACCCATCATTTTCTAAACCTCTAGCATTTATTTATTTAGATCGAAATGGGGAGCCGAGTTAGTCTGTCTGCGGCAGTAGAAAAGAGCAAGAGTCCAGGAGCCCCTTAAAGACTAACAAAATTTGTGGCAGGGTGAGCTTTCGTGAGTCACCACCAGTGTTCCCTCTAAGCTGAGTTAGTGTGAGCTAGCTCACAGTTTTTTAGCCTCTGGCTCACACATTTTTGTCTTAGCTCAGGAAGGAGGGCTCCACAGCAAACTAATTGATGCAGCAGCCAAATCACTCGCTCACAATGTTAATGCCAGTAACTCACAAAGTAGAAATCTTGCTCACAAGACTCCACAGCTTAGAGGGAGCATTGACTCACCGCTCACTTCTTCAGATACAGCTCAAACGTGACTCCGTCCCTATATAAGGACAGACACCCACATTCTAGGTGTATCTGAAGAAGTGAGCGGTGAGTCACGAAAGCTTTTCCCCTGCCATTTATTTATTTATTTGCTTCGTTTTTTTGTCTCCCTTTCTGGACGAGACTCAAAGCAGATTACGGGGTCATAAAAGACAAGGTGATGAAGGCGTTATAATGCAAACAATGAACGGTGCCGTAAAACCAGATCACGCAAACCGCAATGAACTGGAAACAGTATAATGCATCACATAAACCGGATTTTGCAATTAGAGAACAATGAAACAATAAACTAGATCACACAATTAGAGAACGCTGAAGCACTGAATGCATCCAGTAAACAATGCAGGCTGTGGAAGGTCGGTAGTTCAGCAGTTCGAGACCCGAGTGTGCTGCATGACGGAGTGAGCTCCCGTCTCTGGCTCCAGCTCCTGCCAACCTAGCAGTTCGAAAACAAGAAATTGCAAGTAGATAAATAGGTACCACTTCAGTGGGAAGGTAACAGTGTTCCGTGCGCCTTGGTGTTTAGTCATGCCAGCCACATGACCACGGAAACGTCTTCGGACAGCGCTGGCTCTTTGGCTTTGAAACGGAGATGAGCACCGCAACCCTAGACCGGCTTTCGAGCAAGGGAACCTTTACCTTTACCTTTACCTAAACAATGCAGTATAAAGGGCAGGGGGAACTGCCTGAAATAGGGGTCCACAAACTTTTTCAGCCTGCAAGGCACCTTTGGAATTCTGGCATAGGCTGCTGTGTGCAGCCAAAAATGTCTACCACGGGAGGTGGAGCCAACCACCAAATGTCTCCCACGGGAGGCAAAGCCAACCACCAAATGTCTTCCGGGGGAGGTGAAAACAACCACAAAATGTCTGCTGTGAGAGGAAGACCTCACCACAAAATAGGCTTGCCAAGTCCCCCCGGGGGGCAGGGAACCCCCCGCCCCAGTGGCTCGTTACCCGCCGGCAGCGGATTGGGCCCTGGGGGGAACCCCACCCCCAAAGCACGTGACGTGCACGTCGCCCAGAGGTGACGCAATCGCGTCGGGTGCATTGGGGGCGGGGCCACGGTCATCCGAGGGGAAACTCTATGGTTTCCCCTCGGATGGTTGTGGCCCGCCTCCAGCGTGTCCGGTGTGGTCGCGTCACTTCCGGGTAATGTGGTTGCGGCACTGGAGTCCCCCGCTCCAGCGCCACTTTGGACATGGCAACCCTACCACAAAATGTCTGCCACAGGAGGCGGAGACATCCACAAGAAGTCAGGAAGTGAGGTTATGCGTAACTCTGATTGATTCAGTTGGGGAGCCATGTTGGCCTGAAGTAGCGGAACAAAGTTTCAGCCCAGCGGCACCTTTAAGACCAACAAAGTATTATTCTAGGTCTAAGCTTTCATGATACATCTTGTATCTGAAGATGTGTGTGCACACAAAAGCTTAGACCTAGAATAAAACTTTGTTGGTCTTAAAGGTGCCCCTGGGCTCAAACTTTGTTCCATAACTTGGATCGTAGCTTTTCAACAGTTCAGCCAGAAGCTCTGTTTAACAAGATGCCTTTTTAAAACTGACATATTGTTTAAAATTACTTTCTTGCATACACACAAAATATTATTATTATTATTATTTATTCAATTTATCCCCCACCCTCCCTGGTATACATATTTTGCTAGCAAAGAAGAAGAAGAAGAGATTGGATTTATACCCCACCCTTCACCTGGAGTCTCAGAGCGGCTTACAGTCTCCTTTCCCTTTCCCTCCCCACAACAGCCACCCTGTGAGGTAGGTGGGGCTGAGAGAGCTCTCTTGAGAACTGCTCTTGAGAGAACAGCTCTGACAGAACCATGGCTTGCCCAAGGTCATCCAGCAACTGCAAGTGGAGGAGTGGGGAGTCAAACCCAGTTCTCCTAGATTAGAATCCGCACACTTAACCACTACACCAGCCTGGCTCTCATCTGGAGGTATCTATCTTTATATTTGCAGGTATCTGATGTATTTATTTATTTCTAAGTTCAGTTTACATACCACCCTTCCCTGAGTTCACAGTAGCACATTATTTTATTTTATTTATTTATCATTCGATTTCTAGGCTGCCCTCCCCGCGAGCGGGCTCAGGGCGGCTAACTTTAGGGCACGGATGCCAAATACATAAAAACAAGATTTCAATATTACAATAGGGCTTAGAACGTCACTATTACAATAGTGCTGAACTTAGAATGTTAAAAAAAGAGCAAGAAAGATCATGCTGTGAAAGAGGGTGGGGGAAAAGCGGCATTGTAGGAAGAGCTATGGACATTTTAAACAGCGTACCACAGTGATTCAGAAGCGCGACAAAGAGGTGAAAACAGGAAATAGCAGTTTTCCTCAATAACGGCTCAGTCCCGCTTTCCCAACGGGACGCAAGGGGCTTTGTACAAACAGGTAAATAAAATCCGCTAGCAGCTGGTTACTAAAACGGTTGTGTCGGAACTGACACAAAAAATCCATCAGGAGAGCAACCTCCTACTAAAACAGATTGCAAAGGCTGTCTGAAAGGGGCCTTCGATTCTATAGGTCTTCTGTCTGAAAGGGGCCATCGATTCTATAGATCTTCTGTGTACTAGTTAACGGGCATTGCAGATTTATAAGTATATGCCCTTACACATGAGGATAGTCCTGCTTGATCATACCAGAAGGCTGCCTAGCTCAAAATGTGTGCGAGATAGGGTTGCCAAGTCCATCTTCTACCCCCAGCGGGGGACTTTGGGGGCGTTCCTGGAAGGGGTGGGGCATCCCCAACGTGATGACGTCACGTTGGGGATGTCTGCATGTCTCCCCCCCCCCCCCCCCCCGGCCGTGCGCCGGATCTCCAGAAACAGCAGTTTTCTGCACTTAAAGTAGCCGGCAGCCGGCGTTTCCCCCTTAAGAGAAGCTGCGTTTCCCTTTTAAGAACGAAGCTGGCTTTTCCCTGCAAGCGTGCGGAGTTCGCGCTTGGGATGAAACACGGGTTGCACACCCTTAAAGGGAGAGAGATGGGTGGCTGTGGGTGTTGGGGGTGGGGCTTCCCCTGCCAGCCATCTGGCCGGCGGCAGGTAGAAACCCCCCAAAACGGGGGACCCCTGGCAAACCGGGGGGTTTGGCAACCCTAGTGCGAGAGTTTTGAAAGGTTGGATGATAGTGGCACAGGTAAGTATTTTTCGCTAGTCTTGGTATCACGCATGATAGTTTTTCTTGTTTTTAGCCATTCTTTTCAAGCTGATCATGCCTTGAGATAAACTGAACGGGAATGACTTTCCCTGTCCTCTTCCCGCAGGACGTTGTGGATCTTGACGAGAAGATGAAGAGCTTGGACGTCAACAATGACGAGGAGCTGAAATTCGGCGAGTTTTGGAGGCTCATCGGGGAGCTGGCCAAAGAAATCAAGAAAGAGAAACTGGGGAAAAAGAAGTGAGCGGGGCGTGCATGTGTGTTTGTGAGTGTGTGTTTTTGCAGGCAAGGTGGAGGGGAGCGAACGGGACATGGTGTCCAGAGGTGCTTGGGGGACGAGGAAGGGGGCCGCAGATCATGCAGAAATAAAATTCATGTCGTTCGCAGGTCGCAAATAAAAAGCATTTGCTCTGAGTCGGTGTCACTGTGTTGCATCTTTGGCATAGGAATGATGGGCCTGCGGAACAGTTGTCACCCCTCGCTTTAACAGGACAGCTGCATGTGGAGGAGGGGGGAATCAAACCCGGTTCTCCCAGATTAGACTTTGCGCACTCAACCACTACACCAAACATAGGAATGGAACACCTTCCCTATGAAGAAAGGTTAAAGAGGTTAGGGTTTTTAGCTTCGAGAAACGACGATTGAGGGGTGCCACGGCAGAGATTCACAAAATTAGGCATGGGATAGAGACGGTAGAGAAAGAAGTACTTTCCTCCCTTTCTCACAATACAAGAACTTGTGGGCACTCCATGAAATTAAGGAGCAGTAGGCTTAGAACAGATCAAAGGAAGTACTTCTTCACCCAAGAGGAATAAATTCGTGATGACCAGAACTGCACACAGTATTCCAAATGAGGTCGCACCATTGATTTATATAGGGGCATTATGATATTGGCTGATCTGTTTTCAATACCCTTCCTAATAATCCCCAGCATAGCATCGGCCTTTTTTATTGCAGTCACACACTGTCTCGACATTTCAGTGAGTTATCTACTGCGACTCCAAGATCTCTCTCTTGATCAGTCTCTGCCAGTTCAGACCCCATCAATGTGTATTTTTATTTAGGGTTTTTGGCTCCAATGTGCATCACCCTGCACTTGGCCACACTGAACCCCATTTGCCACGTTGACGCCCACTTGCCCATCCTCGACAGATCCCTTTGGAGGGCCTCACAATCCTCCCTGGTTTTCATCACCCTGATCACATGTTTCCTGACGGAAGCAGTAACACTCTTAAAAGGTATTTTGGACTTCCTGGATGACTGGCAGATTTTTATTTTATTTTAATCCTGTTTTTCTGCCAAGGGGGTGGAACACAGCATGGTGTAGCCCGATCTCATCAGATCTCAGAAGCAGGGTCAGTACTTGGATGGGAGACCACCAAGGAAGGCTCTGCAGAGGAAGGCAAAGGCAAACCCCCCTCTGCCTCTCACTTGCTTTGAAAGCCCCTTGCCAGGGTCGTTATATGTTGGAAGCTAAGCAGGGTTGGTACTTGGATGAGAGACCACCAAGGAAGGCTCTGCAGAGGAAGGCAATGGCAACCCCCCCCCCCTTCTTCTCACTTGCTTTGAAAGCCCCTTGCCAGGGTCATTATATGTTGGAAGCTAAGCAGGGTTGGTACTTGGATGAGAGACCACCAAGGAAGGCACTGCAGAGGAAGGAAATGGCAAACCACCCCTTCTTCTCACTTGGTTTGAAAGCCCCTTGCTGGGGTCATTATATGTTGTAAACTAAGCAGGGTTGGTACTTGGATGAGAGACCACCAAGGAAGGCTCTGCAGAGGAAGGCAATGGCAAACCCCCTCTGCTTCTCACTTGGTTTGAAAGCCCCTTGCCAGGGTCGTTATATGTTGGAAGCTAAGCGGGGTTGGTACTTGGATGAGAGACCACCAAGGAAGGCTCTGCAGAGGAAGGCAACGGTCAACCCCCTCTGCTTCTCACTTGCTTTGAAAGCCCCTTGCCAGGGTCGTTATATGTTGGAAGCTAAGCAGGGTTGGTACTTGGATGAGAGATCACCAAGGAAGGCTCTGCAGAGGAAGGCAATGGCAAACCCCCTCTGCTTCTCACTTGCTTTGAAAGCCCCTTGCCAGGGTCGTTATATGTTGGAAGCTAAGCAGGGTTGGTACTGGGATGAGAGACCACCAAGGAAAGCTCTGCAGAGGAAGGCAATGGCAAACCACCTCTGCTTCTTAGTTGTCTTGAAAGCCCCTTGCTGGGGTCATTATATGTTGTGAGCTAAGCAGGGTCGGTACTTGGATAGGAGACTACCAAGGAAGGCTCTGCAGAGGAAGGCAATGGCAAGCCACCTCTGCTTCTCCCTTGCTTTGAAAGCCCCTAGCTGGGATTGCCATAAATTGGTTGCCACATAATGGCACTTACGCACATATAGGGTTCATTGGCTGCCTGACATCCCAGCCTATTAATTAATTGAAAAGAAATACAGACACAGGAATCTAATCTAATAGCCTAAGCTAAATGCTGTATGCTTTTTAAACAGTAAATATTCAAATGACAAGTCTATGTGGGTTTTTTTGTTTTTGCATTATGAAATATTCATAAGAATTCTAACATCCAATTTTCTATTGTTTCATACATATGCAATGAAAAAAAATATGGTAACATAAATCAATCACAAGATAGAAAGCTCATGAATTGCAAGACTGGGATGTGTATTTACAAAGTCACCAAAGGGGGGGAAAAGGTCCTTTTAGAACAACGGTATCAATAAAGATATAGACCTTGAACTGGACCAATATTTTCAAAAGCCATGGAACATCCATTTTGGTGTAGTGGTTAAGTGCACGGACTCTAATCTGGGAGAACCGGGTTTGATTCCCCACGCTTCCACTTGCACCTGCTGGATGACCTTGGGCAAGCCATAGTTCTGATAAGAGCTGTCCTTGAAAAAGAGCAGTTTCTGTCAGAGCTCTCTCAGCCCCACCTACCTCACCGGGTGTCTGTTGTGGGGAGGGGAAGGGAAAGGAGATGGTAAGTCGCTCTGAGACTCCCTTGGGTAGTGAAGGGCGGGGTATAAATTCCATCTCTTCTTCTCTTCTTCTAAATGCCGAAATGAGCTTGGCAAGGTTTAGAACTTCATAATATGTCCACATAGGCATGGCAATCCTTAAACTCTTTACATTGAACTACTACTAACACAGATCCCAGGTAGTCTCAGCCGTTTTGTTTCTTCATCAGAGAGTCTAGTTCATAGAGTCTTCCTTTGATAATTCTATATTGGAGCTTATCGTTAAACATCAAAAACACTTTACACCTCCGAGGAGCATCAGAGCTTCAAAAACCCATGAGGAATAGTGCCAAGGTCTCCAAGCTCATCCTAGCCTAGTCTGATCTAGTCAGAGCTTGGGAGTCTAGCAGGGTTGGCCATGGCCAGTGCTTGGAAGGGAGACCACCACGGAAGACTCTGCAGAGGAAGGCAACGGTAAACCACCTCTGCTTCTCACTTGCCTTGGAAGCCCCTTGCTGGGTCACTGTAAATGGATTATGACTTTTCAGCACTTATGTACATTTGTTGTTGTTGTTCAGTCACACAGTCGAGTCCGACTCTTCGCGACCCCATGGACCACATCACGCCAGGCCTTCCGGTCTTCTGCCGTCCTCTGAAGTTTGCTCAATTTCATGTTCGTTGCATCTATGACACTGTCTAACCATCTCATCCTTCTTCTCCAGTGAGTGCTCCCTTCTCATTTGGTGGCCAAAGTATTTGAGCTTCAGTTTCATTATCTGGCCTTCCAGGGAACAGTCAGGGTTGATTTCTTTTAGGATTGACTGATTTGATCTTCTCGCAGTCCAAGGGACTCTCAAGAGTCTTCTCCAGCACCATAGTTCAAAAGAATCTATTCTTCGGCGCTCGGCCTTCCTTACAGTCCAACTCTTGCAGCCATACATGACTACTGGGAATACCATTGCTTTGACCATGCGGGCTTTTGTTGGCAGGGTGATGTCTCTACGTTTTATCATGCTGTTTAGGTTCGCCATCGCTTTCCTCCCAAGGAGCAGGCGTCTTTTAATTTCATGGCTGCTGTCACAGTCTGTGGTGATCTGGGATCCCAGGAACATGAAGTCTGTCACTACTTCCACTTATGCACATATATTTTGTTAAATACTGGGTTCTGGATGCATTGCAGTGAAACAGCTCTGCTTTATTAAGTGATTTCAGGAACACTACAAGACAAGACTCCAGGGCAGCTGCCCTGTTTTTAAGCATGCAATCACCACACCCCAAACAAAACCCCACTCCCAACGATAGCCTATTTACATAACACTGGCCCCAGTTACACGGGCCAGAGAACGGGGGGGGGGGGGAGGTGGGGGGATGCGTGGCTGTTTGCCCCGGAGCAAAATAAAGCATGGTAGCCCAATCACACGGTCCTCCGAAGCTTCGCGCTTAGGCTGTTAGCTGGCGATCACACGGTGATGCTGGAGTGTGGCAAAGAAGCAGCACGGCAAGTGTTTCGCGTAGTTCCGCGGAGCAGCACTGCTTTCAGTTACATGTTTGTGCACGTGCGCTTACGAAAAACATCTGGTTTGCGACGGGACATGGACGGGCGCTGGATGCCACGAGATACTAGCACTCCCGTGATCAGACGCCCGCCACTGTCCTGCATTTTCCGAATACTAGTGCACTTTCCGAGGTACTTTTTTAACTGCACATCTTCGGCGGGACGCCACGGATTGGCCACGGGTGCGCTATGCTTCCCAGATGTTGCGGTGTGATCGCGCCCTGAAAATCCACCTGACATTTGTTTCTTTAGCGTGGCAACTTCTCCGTGTGAACGGGGCCACTGTTTCTCTGTTGGTCTACTCCAGGATCCTAGTAAGCTATTGTTTCGGGGAAACAAGCTCCACCAGATCCAGGTACTATTTCAGGGATGACTCTGGCTTAATATACAACACATTTGAGCTGGAATTGGCTCCTGAACTGTCTCATAGGAACCAATCCCCCCCTTCATATGCTAGCTAAAATCTAATATAAATGTTCTCTGATTGAGCACAAGGGCTTGCTTGTGTGCATGGCTGCTTCCTCCCCACCCTTAAGAATTCCATCCATGGCAATTTTATGAGTATCTCCTGCCAGATGCAGTCATATGTCTAACGCTCTGTACTTGCATTGCTGTTTAAGGGGCCTGCCCAGTTGCTGTGCCTTTCACAGGGTTCTAGGGCTGCCAGTGTTGGGTTGGAAAATTTCTAGTGATTTGGGGACAGAGTCTGTAGGAGGCAGGGTTTGGCGAGGGACCTCAGCAGGACGTAATGTAGGGTTGTGAGCCTCCCTAATGGAGGCGAGGCATCCCTCGCCACCAAGCCCCACCCCCCACGGCCGATTAGCTGGATGGTGGGGGGGACCTACCAGGACCAGGGGGGAGGCCCTGGGC